AAAAAAATCTTTTTTCTTTTTTTTTTTAAGATTTTTTTTTTTTTAAGGTTTTATTTGAGAGAGAGAATGAGAGAGAGAGAGCACATGAGGGGGGGAGGGTCGGAGGGCGAAGCATACTCCCTGCTGAGCAGGGAGCCCGATCTGGGACTCGATCCAGGCACTCCAGGATCATGACCTGAGCCGAAGGCAGTCGCTTAACCAACTGAGCCATCCAGGCGCCCAAGAATTTTTTTTTTTTTTTATTTGACAGAGAGTCAGCAAGAGAGGGAACGCAATCGGGGGGAGTGGGAGAGGGAGAAGCAGGCTTCCCGCTGAGCAGGGAACCCGATGTGGGGCTCCATCCCAGGACCCCGAGATCACGACTTGAGCCGAAGGCAGATGCTTAACGACTGAGCCACCCAGGCGTCCCCCCAGAAATCTTTCTTATCTGTTCCATTATGGAAAAAGTTTGCTGAGCTCTCTTGTACTGGGTTCACTGGACAGATAGATTTGGATCAGAGGATTAATAGTACCGGTGCGGGACAAGGGTAGGTGACATCAGATGCTCATGTAAGATTTCTCCCAGAACATGAGGCTGAGCAAGTGCTTGGTAGGTCAGCAAGCCATTGTCACCTTGATGGTGACAGCAAAGACTAGGGCCTTTTTTTCATATTAGTCACTGTGATGGACTGAGTATTGACTGTGGGGGCCAAGAACATGTTTGGCCCTTGATGTGCATTATCGTGTTTAACTTAGTCTGTGGTGGTGTTTCTTCAGACGGAGGTATTGTGGGATGAATTAATTATATGGTTTAAACAATTATCGTTATGCTTTGCTGCTTCGTATGTTCTGTGAGGTGAACTTAGTGTGTCTTTTGCTGTATGATTTTTAATCCGTCTTATTGCGGAAGAAGCAGAGCAACTAGAATAATGGGACTGTATGTACCCATTACTCAGCTTCCACCATCGTCCCCTCCTGGCTAGTCCTGCATCCTCTCTGCTCTAGCACATTCTGCCCCCTGCCCTACCCCACCAGTTCCAGACGTCATGTTCTGTCATCCATGCCTTGTCATTTTTTTAGCATGGTGGTTGCTTCATCCAAAAGAACATTGATAAAAGGTAATAGGGAATTACAAAGTAAAATGCTAGGGTCACTGCTCATGTTCCCAAACCCAACCAGCTATCATAAAATTCCCTGGTCCCTCCTCCTGCATCCCTTATGGTCTTTCTCACTCCCAAACATCTTGTGTACATTATTTCATTTTTTTGGAAAAAATGTATTTTAGGGAGAGAGTGCACAGTGCAGAGGGGCAGATGTAGAGGGAGAGGAAGAAAGAGAATCTCAAGTAGACTCTGTGCTGAGCACGGAGCCCAACGCCGGGCTTGATCTCACGACCCTGAGGTCATTACCTGAGCCAAAAGCAAGAGTCAGAGAGATGCTCAGCCAACTGAGCCACCCAGGCACCCCATGTTATTTCATTTTAACTTCGTGACTTCTGAGACTGATTTGATCCTCAGCTGGGACAGGCGAGGAAGATATCGAATGAACAGCAATGATAGGAACAACTACCAACTCCTCAGGACAGGATTTGGGACATATCAGTCAGAATTCAGAATTTAGCTTGATCTTTTTTTTTTTGTTTTTAATTTTCTTTTAAGAGATTTTATTTATTTATTTGACAGAGAGAGCACACAAGCAGGGGAAGGGCAGAGGGAGAGGGAGAAGCAGGCTTCTGCTGAGCAGGGAGTGTGAGGTGGGGCTCAATCCCAGGCCCCTGGGATCTTGACTGAGCCAAAGGCAGACGCTTAACCGGCTGAGCCCCCCAGGTGCCCCCAAGTTTTGTCTTTTTAATCATCTCTCATGATAGGGATTACTCTTCCCATTTTACAGGGAAGGAAACTGAGGTGCCAAGTACTAAAGCAGCCTTCCTGGACTTTCATGGCTTGGGACCCAGCTCTGTTGGCCCCAGGAGCCTGGGCTGTCAGCACCCGATTCAGCCTTTCCCTGTGTACATTCTATCAAATGTTGACAATGGCAGTGGCAGATGCCGGGGGGGGGGGGGGGCGCCCAGCTCTGGGCCGAAAGAACAGGGCTTTTACAGATGAGGCAGTTCACGTTCAGAGAGAGGGACTCATTCGGCTGGTGGGTGCCGAGCCGGGATTGGAGCCCCAGCCATCCGACACCACCTCCCAGATGGCACGGGGCCGGGCAAGGATTCAGATGCTTAAAATACAACATGAGTGTGCATTACAATGGGGGGACACACAACCCCAGGACTGAACCACTCCTGCAGACGTTGGAGACCCATTGGTGTGCTTGGAGTCAGGGCAGGCTGGCGGCATTGTTGCTGAGAGCCCAGCTTTGGCCTTGACCCGACTGGTTCAGATCCTTGCCGCTTCTGGGCTGGGCTGGTGTCGACCCTTCCTGACAATGAATTTCCTCATTTGCAAAATGGGGGTGATCCCGTTAGTACCTCCCTCAGGTAACGGGAGGATCCAGGCATTAAAGCTCCACGGGACCGTGGGTCGCACACAGTAGGTATCCCATATGCTTTGCTTGGGTTACTCATCTCTGCAAAGCTTGGCAATTTTTTTTCTGTAAAGGGCGCGCTAGTAAATATTTTAGCCTTTACAGGGCCCAGGGTCTCTGTTACATCTTCTTGTTTTGTTTTTATGATCCTTTAAAAATTAGGAACCATTCTTAGCTTATAGATCTGTGAAAACGGGCAACAGGCCATAGTTTGCTTCAGAACAGTGGTAGCCCAGTAGAAATATTATGAGCTGTATACATCATTTCAAGCTTTCTTGTATCCACGCTTAAAAAAAAGTGAGGGGCGCCTGGCTGGCTCAGTCGGTAGAGCACGTGACTCTTGATCTCAGGGCCTTGAGGTCAAGCCCCACAATGGGCGGGGAGACATCTTAAAAGAAAAAAAAAATAAAAATAAAGATTAAAAATGGGTGAGATTAGCCACAGGAGTGTATTTTCTTTAACACAGCTTATTTAAAATTATCATTTTAGCGTGTAATCAACACAGAAAAAGCTAACAAGATGTTTTGCATTTTTTGCATATCAAGCCTTTGAAATCCTGTGTATATTTTATACTCATGGAACACACTCGGGCCAGCCGAATTAGCACAAGTCTGGCCCCCCCTCTCTACTTCGGCTTCCCCATCTATAAAATGGGACTGATAACATTAACTCCCAGTTCTTGGAGATGTTGAAGATTTAGCAGAATGTAAACGCTGAGCTCGTAAGAGTTTGTTGAGTGGAGAGAAGTGGGAGGGTGGTCCAGGTGGGGGAGCAGGGTGCAAAGTTTGTGTCGTTAGCAAAAACACGGAGTACTTGTGATGTGTAGGGATTCAAGGGGTTGAGTGGCTGGATTGTGAGTGCTGAGCCTGGGAAGGTGAGCAGGTGCCAGGTCATGCTGGGGTGAGCTCAGTGGGCACCTGCTTGAGAGTCCACTTTGGGTTTTCTGGCAGTGGGTAGGGTCCCTGGCTAGTAGGATGGTGGCTGGGGAGGTGTCTAGGTTTGGTGGCAGTCTGTCTACCACCTTGGTCCTGTGACACTGATTCCCCCATTAATGGACCATGATGTTTTCTTTCTTTTTCTTTTAAGTAGGCCCCACACCCAGCGTGGAGCCCAGTGTGGGTCTTGAACTCACAACCCTGAGATCAAGACCTTAGCTTAAGATCAAGAGTCAGATGCTTAATTGACCGAGCCACCCAGGCGCCCCAAAGCTTTCTTATTACCATCCTACTAGGTGTTTCTAGCTCATTCCCATCCTGCTGCTTACTGCCCTGGTCTTTGCTTCTCAAGAGTTCCGATTCCCAGAAGAGAATCTGATTGGTCCGGCTCAGCATTTGGGCCCAAGATAGGATTAGTGATTTGCGTGTAGATTGGCTGCCTGGTCAGGTCTCCTCCAATCAGCTGTGGCTTCCATTGGGCAGGGGCAGGAGCAGTGGGTGTGGTCCATGATAGGATTCCTGGTTGGAGATCAGGCAAGGATGATGCCAGGGGTTGAGCCCCATGATGGCGGAGAGGAAGAGTGGTTTTGGGAAAGCCACCAAGTTCAGTTGGGGTGTGGTGAGCCAAGGGGCCTGCGTCCAGCCAGAGAATCAGCCAGCGCTTTTGAGGAGGCTGATTGAGTAGTGGAAGAGACAGAGGGGATGGTCTTCCCTGGCTGGGAGGGATGCTCTGATGGCTTTCTCACAGGCTTCTGAGAACTAGAATGGGGAAGATCATGTTAACGTTGAGAGGCAAGGGCGCCTGAGTGGCTCAGTTGGTTGAGCGACTGCCTTCGGCTCGGGTCATGATCCCGGAGTCCCGGGATCGAGTTCCGCATCGGGCTCCCTGCTCGGTGAGGAGCCTGCTTCTCCCTCTGACCCTCCCCTGTTTCATGTACTCTCTCTCTCTCTCATTCTCGCTCTCTCAAATAAATAAATAAATCTTTAAAAAAAACCCAAAACATTGAGAGGCAAAAGCACCCATTTGTGGGGGTGTGGGGGGGGTACTGCATTTGCAAAAACCTGGAGAATCAGAAAGTCTGGGGTTCATCTGCTGAACTTGGAGGGATCTGGATGGCCTGCTCGGCAGGGACAGGAGAAGAGAAAGGAAACTGAGGCCAAATCTGGGTGTGCCAGATCGTGGAGCCTGCACTAGGGGCCCTGGAAGGTTTTGGAGCAGAGCAGGATGTGGTCCAATTCTTGGGCCTCTGACCTGGCTCCCCAAGGTCACCAGGAGGGAGGCCTGGGAACCATATGGTAGCCTGGAGAAAAGGACTTGGGGCCAGGGCGCCTGCATCCCTGTCTCATCCTGCCTCTTGTGACTTCAGCCAAGAGCTTTTTTAGACCTCGTTCTCATCAGGTTATTGTAGTCCCTTCTTTGCCCTCCCCTAGTTGATCTGAGGGACACACGAAATCATGGCTGTGAAAACCACTGACCCACACTAAGAGTAGGCAGTGGATAGCTGGTACACAGACCCAAGTGTTACAGCTGCTGCCAGTGACAGACATCATTAATTGATCTCAGCACTTCTGCTGAGCCTGGTTCTGAGCTATGACCAATCTAATTGGAATTGTCTTCTGAATCCTGTTTATCACTTGAGTGTGATTTCTTTGCGAGGACTAACTTCTGTTCATCTGTGGGTTATCACAGTACCCAGTGCACATTTTCTGCTGCATCTGTGGTTTTTTTTTTTTTTTTTGAGATTTTATTTATTCGAGAGAGAGCGAGAAAGAGAGTGGGGGAAGGAGCAGAGGGAGAGGGACAAGCAGTCTCCACACTGAGTATGGAGCCCCACGCGGGGCTGGATCCCACGACCCTGAGATCATGACCTGAGCCAAAACCAAGAGTCAGACGCTCAATGGACTGAGCCACCCAGGTGCCCCCGTCACACTTCCACGCTGTCCCGTGTCATTGCTCAGCCCCTTCACAGAAGACATTGCCCTTCCGAAAGGGCTTAGGTGTCGCCTCTTCCAGGAAGCATTCTTGGATTCAGATTGCATTTGAGGTCCTTCTTTTAGGCTTCCACAGTGTCTGGGGTTCTGCCGTTAGCGTGTTTATTACTTGTGCTGTCATTCTTTTTTGGTGTCATGTCTGGCTCTCCTGCTGTGCCCTTCGCTCTCCCCAGATTAGACGCTCTCCCCAGATGAGACGCTGGGTCTGACCCACATCCTTCAGTTTGCATCATCCAGCCAGGGGGTCACACAAGTCTCGTGGTGGGGAGGTTATCTGAGTGTTGGGGGGGTGGAGACAGGGGAGCCTTCTATCACTGTGTCTTACCCCGTTGTGGAGAGGGGCATGAATTTAGTGGTCTCAGGTCAGCTGTCATCGTCTGTTCTTGGCACAAGCCACAGCCTCACCCTGTTTTGTTTATTTGCTACTTTGTTGCTTGTCTGCTTCTGTAATGAAGACCCCACCAAAGGCCTTGTCGGTCTCATTCACTACTGTACTACCCCTGCCCGCGCATCACCGCCCCCCCCCCCCCCCCCCCCAGCGCGGCATCTGGAAAATGGTGGGTGGGTGCTCAGGAGTTGACATTACTTTAACTCCAGGGGCGTTGTGCCGTAACATTGTAACAACTAAAACTTGTAGCACAAGAAGGAACAGTTTGTTTGAGAGTCTTGGGTAAGCCTGGGGGTGGGGGAACGTGGCCAGCCTCGAGCTGCCTCCCCAGGACTGAGAACGTCCTGGGGCCAAGGGAAATGTGCCAGCCAGGGCGCCTGGGTGGCTCAGTTGGTTAAGCGACTGCCTTCGGCTCAGGTCATGATCCTGGAGTCCCGGGATCGGGTCCCGCGTCGGGCTCCCTGCTCAGCGGGGAGTCTGCTTCTCCCTCTGACCCTCCCCTTCTCGTGCTCTCTCTCTCTATCTCATTCTGTCTCTCAAATAAATAAATAAATAATCTTAAAAAAAAAAAAAGAAAAATGTGCCCGCCAGGGTGCGGTGATACCTGTTGACGAGAGTGCCTTTTCTCAAGGGGGTATCGAGGGAGGACACGGGGTCCGGAATTGGGGGCAGGAAGGGCAGGAGCAAGGGCTGACTTTGCTGGCCTCACTGCACCCCTCCTCAGCTGGCATTGCAGACGGGGCGGGAGCCCCCACCCATCTGGCGAGTGCAGAAGGCCCTGCTGCAGAAATTCACTCCCGAGATCAAGGATGGGCAGCGACAGTTTTGTGCAACCAGTAATGTAAGCCTGCAGAGGGGAATGAGGAGTCGGGGAGGCCTGGGGGAGGGGGTCCCCCTCATGCGTGACTGGGATTCACCTGCTGTCCAGGGGGTGTCCCAAAGGGAGGCTCCACCTCCAGGAGGCTTCTGTGGGGGGCCCCGTGGCATGGGGCGAGTCTCGGGTGTCGGGCTGCCTGGCTGCAGTAGATGAAGGATTTCCCTGTGTGCCTCTTTCCTTCCATAGTATTTGGGGTATTTTGGGGACGCAAAAAACCGGTATCAGCGCCTTTACGTAAAGTTCCTGGAAAATGTCAACAAGAAGGATTATGTGAGGGTCTGTGCTCGGAAACCCTGGCACCGGCCCCCAGTGCCCGTCAGGTACCCTGGGGGCCAAGGGGCAGGCGGCGGGCAGGGTTGACGGGCACGGGGATGGAACATTCAAGAGAAGAGGTAGAGGTGGGGAGAGTGGACACAGGGTGGGGGACAGAGACCCAGAGAGAGAGAGAGAGAGAGAGAGAGCCAGGTCTGGGATGGGGGGAGACAGAGGCTCAGAAGAAACAAAGGTCAGGAGAGGAAGCTGGTTCTGTGCTCAAAGCTACGGGCTTAGATGGGGATCTGGAGGAGAATTTGGGTTTCTTCGCGGCTGCTGACTGCATACAGTCCCTTCTGCATTCCCTTCCAGGCGCTCTGGGCAGGCCAAGGGCCCCGTGTCTGCCGGGGGCAGCTCTGCACCTCCTCCCAAGGCCCCGGCACCACCTCCTAAGCCCGAAACCCCTGATAAGACGGTATGTGAGAAGCCCCCAGAGCAGACGCCTGAGACACCTGTGCCTGAGCCCCCTGCTGCTGAGAAGCCATCCCCACCACGGCCCGTTGAGAAGGAAAAGGAGAAAGAGCGGGTGACACGTGGGGAGCGGCCGCTTCGGGGCGAGCGGAGCGCAGGCGGGCGGCAGACTCGGCCTGAGCGGAGCCTCACCGCAGGACAGACCGCCACCTCCCGGCTGCCCAAGGCCCGGCCCACCAAGGTGAAGGCCGAGCCGCCCCCCAAGAAGAGGAAGAAGTGGCTGAAGGAGGCGGCGGGCAATGCCTCGGCGGGCGGGGGTCCACCAGGCAGCTCCTCGGACTCAGAGTCATCCCCAGGAGCACCCAGCGAGGACGGTGAGGCCCTCGGCAGCCACCGGGCGGGTGGGGAGGCATGAGGAGGTGAATCCCCGGCAGCAGGAGGAGGCATGGGCGAGCACAGTTCATGGGGTTCCAGGTAGTGTCGGCGAGACAGCAGCGAGAACTCGTAAATTAAAATGATGGCGATATTTGTCAGTCATGTGGTGCCGGAGATGGCTGTCTTCTCTAAATGCTGTACCCAAGTTAACTTGTGTGACATTCATAGCAGGCTACAAAGTAGATACCGTTGTTTTTAAAGTTCTTTTTAAAATTTTTAAAAAAGATTTTACTTATTTGAGTGGGGAGGGGCGGGGGGAGAGGGAGAAGCCGACTCTCCACTGAGCACGGGCTCAGTCTCACACCCTGAGATCATGACCCCAGCCGAAATCGAGAGTCGGATGCCCAGCCGACTGAGCCACCCAGTGCCCCAGGGGTAGCTGTTTTAACAGAGACTAAGCGTGCAGGCACTCAGATGAGAGAGTGAGTTCTCTTTCCATCAAAGCACAACGTAGGTGGTGGTTTCCTAGAAAATAAGAGGCTCTTCTCAAGGTTGTCCAGGGTCTCTGTTTCCTTTCTTCTTGTTGCTGTGCCTTCCGCCTGCGTGCTGTCCTCAAGCACGTGGTCAGAGGCAGCCCAGCAGCCCCAAAGCCACAGGCCTGCCGGTGGGAAGGGACTCAGGGGCCAACGAATGGCTGGACCTTCCTTTTAAATTGCCGGATCTGGGTGTGGCCCCTATCCTGTCTCTCCTATCCCATTGGGCAGAACTTGGTCACATGGCCACACCTAGCTGCAAGAGAGCCTGGGAAATGTAGTCTTTCAACTGGGCAGGGTGATGCTAAATCAGGCCAGGTGGAAGCTGCAGGTCATGAAGGTGCCACAAGGGAGGAGATTTAGCAAAGGCCCAGATTTGCAGGTCTTTCCTTCTCTGGCCCTTTTCCTTTTTCTTAAACGATTTACAAACTTAAGTTTAATTGACACACCATATAGTTCACCTACTTGAAAATATAAAATTCAGTGGTTTTTAGTGTAGTCCTAGAGGTGTCCATCCATCTTGGCAGTCAATTTTAGAACACTTTCAATACCCCAAAAGAACCCTTGTATCGATTGGTTATCACTCCCTTCTTTTGGACATTATACAAAAGCGACTCTTAACAACGTGTAGACTTTTGTGATTGGCTTCTTTCACTCAGTGTAACATTTGGAGTTTAGCTGCCTGGTAGGTGTATCAGGACCTCATTCCTTTTTGCGGCTGAATACTATCCCACCACACGGATAGACCACGTTGTATGGATCCATGCACTCGTTGATGGACTTCTGGGTTGTTTCTGTGAATAATGCCACTGTGCACATGCATGGAGAGCTCTGAATTTCCTGAGCGCTGGAAATGGGGGGAACTGAACTCCACCCTCCTCTGGGAGCAGTTCCCCTGCCAAAGGCCAGTATGGGTCTGGGTCTGTCTCCCCTCAGCCCATTCGACCAGGAGTGAGTGGGTGTGACTCATGCTAGCTGACCTTAAGGCTTCCCTCAGCCCAGGAGCCCTCAGAACTAACCCTCTTCCTTGTCTGAGAGTGGTGACCCCTCCGTGTGCCAGAAGCCGATGCTCTCTCCTTCCTCAAATTCGTAATAGAAGTTCTAGAAAGACACTGTGGTGACTGTCCTCTCTCTCCTCCTCTAGTCCCCTTCCATTTGGCTTCCTGAGCCCCGTTCTGCACTTATTTATTGAGTACCTCCTTCGTGCCACAAACGAGGTTCCAGCAGTGAACAGAATAAACAAAAATACGTATCCTCATGGGAGCTTACAGTCTAGCTGGGGGAGTCCATCAGATAAACACGTTATGTAACAGAACACAAAACAATGTGAAAAATGGTCAGTGTAAGGCTGGCCAGGCTTAAAGGCAGTTAAGAAAAGCACTTCTGGTACAGAGGATCCAGGTGGTATAGAGGGGGGTGTTTTCAGGGGATGGGGGAGTTGGGGAAGGCTTCTGGAAATGACATTGGAGCAGACATCCGAGTGCAACGGGGTTGGGGTTGGGTGACTGGGAGAGAGAACATTCCAGGCAGGGCGTGTCTGGGGATCAGAAAGGAGGCCAGTGGCTGGAGCGAGTGAGTAAGAGGAGAGGGTGAGAAGTGAGGGCAGAGACGGAACAGGACCCGATCTTGGAGGGACAGGAGGCCTGGAGCTGGGTGGTCCCACTGGAAGGATTTTACCCTGAGCGAGACGAGAGCCATAGGAGGGTTTGGGCCAAGGCCTGGGGGGGGTCTGACTGCCCCTGCCAAGTGGTCGCTCCGGTCCTTGAAACGGCGGTCACCGAGGACCCTCCACGTGGATAAGTCAAATGGACATTTCTCATGCCACTTCCTGAGGGATATTTTAGGGCCATTCATGGCCGTCCTGCTTTTTTCTCCCCGATGTGCCTTCTTGGGTTTCATGTGAGTGTCCCTCAAGTCCTGACCTTGGCCTTGTTGCTTCACCTCTCACTTGGCAGGCTCAGCTTCCCAGTGAGCCTCGGTAGTTTCTTCCCCCTGGCCCCGCTCCAGGCCTCCCCCAAGCCCCCTCCCTCCAGATCCCACTGAGTTCCTTGTCCTAATTTCCCTATCTCAGGGGCAGCCCCACTGGCTACTCAGTCAGCAGGCCAGATCTCCGGGCACACAAGCCTGTGCTCCCCCACCTCCAAAGCTGGGAAGTCCCCAGCTCTGGCCCTCCTCTTCTCCTGCTCCGCCATTTCTGGATCCTGTCTGTATGGCCCTGCTACTTCCTCATCCTTTCTTATGTGGTCCATTACCCTGGCCTCTGGTATCATCCCTCTGATCCGTCCCCTACATGGCCTCAGAGGGGTCTTTCTACACTTAACCCTTGCCCCTCCCCTGCTCACACCTCTTCCATGGCTCCCTAGTACCCACCACAGGTTTGGGGACAACAGGTGGGTGAGGCCCCTGTCTTCTTTACCTCCCACCTCCTCCCGCAGTCTTGCTCTTTGTGATCTGATCTCTCCGAGTGGCTTCACTGGTTTGGAAACCCAATTATGCTGCTTCTTTAGACTTTGTTGAAGCTACACTGAACTAGTCAAACATGAAGCTCCCTGGCCTGGAATGCTTTTTTCCCCATCAGGATTTAGCTCTTGGGTCACCTTGAACCAGCCTTTCCTGGCTTGCCAGGCCGAACTCGTGACAATCAATGCCCGTGACGCCCACCCTTAGAGCATACTGCGCTGGGACGCGTTGGTCTGCCTCAGACTCGGAGCTCCCAGAGAACAGGGATTTCTTTCTGGCCCTGGTACTTAGAACATGGTCTGCCACCCAGGCGGCCTCAGATGAAGTTGGAATCATGAGCTTGTGTCCCATTCCCCGCCCCCCCCCCCCCCCCCCCCCCCCCCCCCCGCCCCCGCAGTCCCCGGGCGTCTGCTGAAGACCCGGGCGATGCGGGAGATGTACCGGAGCTACGTGGAGATGTTGGTGAGCACAGCACTCGACCCGGACATGATCCAGGCCCTGGAGGACACGCACGGTGAGCCCAGGCCTGGGGAAGAAGGTTCCCCCACTCCTCCTCTGAACCCCACCCCCCTACCCCCCCCCACCCCGCCAGGTGGGGGGCTTCCGCTCCTCTGACGCCCCCTCCTGGTCTTGCAGATGAGCTGTACCTGCCGCCCATGCGGAAGATCGATGGCCTCCTCAACGAGCACAAGAAGAAAGTCTTGAAGCGGCTGTCGCTGAGCCCAGCCCTGCAGGTGCTTGTGGGGCCTGGGCAGGAGGGGTCTGGGGCCCAGCGGTCGGGCATGGGCGTGATGGGTGCAAGTCAGCCACGGCCCTTCCCGCAGAGCATCGGGCCCCGGAGGGGGCAACCACTGGAAGGGTATGGCTTGTCCAGGAGCAGAGTTGAGGGCGGCGCTCCCGCAGGAGAGGGTCTCTGCAGACCTAGATGGAGGGCACTCGATGGGTGTGGAGAGGTCGTCGTGAAGGTCAGGGGAGGGCAGCTGGGAAAGCCCAGCAGAGTTTATGGAGCGCAGGTCTGGGGACAGCAGGTGGGCGAGACCTTGCTGGGGGACAGTGGTAGGCGGATTCTGACGGCTGCTCTGTTGTAACCACGGGCTTAGCATCTCAGTCTTCGCTCTTAGGTCACCCTGTCTGGAGTGGCCAAGGTCTCGGGGACGGAATGCTCGGGCAGCTCTGAAAATTCTGATGGGGGTCGTTGTGTGGGGCTGAGAATTTGGGGGTAGAATGTTAGGGCAACAGAATTCTGGGATGGAATGTTAGTCTGGCCGTAAAATGTCTGGGCGGATATTGGTCTGGGTCAGAAAATTCTGGGTGGGATGTTAGTCTCTCAGACGATACGGTTCTAGCACCCTGGGTGGGATGCTAGGGTAACTGAGAATTCTGGGAGTGAGAGTTAGTCTGGCTCTGAGAGATCTGGGTAGGATATTATTATGCCAGGGGGATATTATTATGCCAGGGTTAACATTTCCACAGTAGAATATTAGGATAAGTCTGAGAATTATGGGATGGAGTATTAGTCTGGTTTTAGCCTTCTGGGCTGGAGTGTCAGCCTGGCACTGGGGATTCTGGATTTTAGGATATCTCAAAATTTTGAGGAGGATGTTAGGCTAGGGCTGAGAATCCCGAGTGGAATATTAGGGGTCTCGGAGAATCTTGGGTGGGCCACAGAGCACATTATAAGGGTCACCAGACAGGCCTAGGCTCCTCTGTCCTTTGAGAGATGCAAGATTCCAGAGTATCTCCTCATCTGCAGTGTGAGGGAAACTGAGGCACCTGACAACTCGGGGATCTGAGAACTGAGTGGTGGGTTTGGAGAGTGTGGGTCCAGGGGGACGGCCCACTGACTGGTTGGCTTCCCGCAGGACGCCCTGCACACGTTCCCCCAGCTGCAAGTGGAGCAGAGCGGGGAGGGCTCCCCTGAGGAGGGGGCCGTGCGGCTGCGGCCGGCTGGGGAACCCTACAACCGCAAGACGCTCAGCAAACTCAAGAGGAGCGTGGTCCGAGCCCAGGTGGGGCTGGGGATGGGCGGGCGGTATGGACGCCTGGGGGGAGGAGCTGCCCCGCACTGGGCAGTGGGGTGAGGCTTCTCCGCTCCATCTGTCCAGGAGTTCAAAGTTGAGCTGGACAAGTCGGGATACTACACGCTCTACCACTCACTCCACCACTATAAGTACCACACCTTCCTGCGCTGCCGGGACCAGGTAAGCCCACCCGCATCGCGCGTCGCCCTGGGCTTCGGCCCTACAGGCTCTGCTCTGGACCCCAGCCCCCTCCCCTCCTCCCTCAGACCCAGGAGCCCAGACCCCCAGCCCCCTCCTCCCTCAGACCCAGGGGTCCAGACTCCCAGCCCCCTCCTCCCTCAGACCCAGGGGTCCAGGCCTCCAGGCCTCCAGCCGCCTCCTCCCTCAGACCCAGGGGTCCAGACTCCGAGCCCCCTCCTCCCTCAGACCCAGGGGTCCAGGCCTCCAGCCCCCTCCTCCCTCAGACCCTTGATCCCTAGACCTCCAGGCCCTGGTGGCCACCCACCCCAGCTCCCTGTTTAATGCCCTGCAGACCCTGGCCATCGAGGGCGGTGCTGAGGACCTGGGTCAGGAGGAGGTGGTCCAACAGTGCATGCGGAACCAGCCGTGGCTGGAACAGCTCTTCGACTCCTTCAGCGACCTGCTGGCCCAAGCACAGGCCCACAGCCGCTGCGGGTGACCCCGCCCAGCCTGGGGGCGCCACCTCTTCCATGAACGGAGAGTTGGGACAGAACTGTGTCCTCAGGAGCTAACCCCCTGGGCCCCGTCGCCAGGGAAAGGGGGGGGTCATTGGTCCGGGTGTGTCCATGCTGCCCCCACAGGGCAGGGTTCAAAGTTCAACTCCTCCCCTCTCCCACGCCCCCTCCACTTCCTCCCCAGCCCTCCCGCTGTCCGGTGTACAGAGAAATTATTTATATATATGTATAAATGTCTATTTAGTAACGGTTTCCCTCCCCACCTTGCCCCAATCCTCTCTCCACGGCCACAGCCCCGCCCCCTCCACCTTGTACATAATGTATAGGAAAAGTCTATGTATGGTTGAGGGGGGCGGGGTGGCTTCAGAGAGCTGGGGGACCCCCTCCCCCCAACCCCCCCTCACAGGCCAAGATCTTTGCTAAAGGCCATTCCCTCCCCAGGGCATTCGGCATCGGGTGGGAGGGGGAAAACGCATCTTGTTAATTATTTTTAATCTTATTTATTGTACATACCTGGGGCGGGGGGCTGGGGAGGTGGAGGGGGGAGAAGGGTCCCCTCCCTTTGGCCCTCCCGCTCCTTTTCTACTGCGATTGTCTGTGTCTGCCCCCCCCCCGCCACCACCGCCCCATCCCCTTGTCTTCTGGATGTGGTTCTATTTTTTATCTGTCTCCTCTCCCCTCCCCCCCCAACCCCTCTGCTCCTACCTCCCGACCTCCCTTTGTCTCTTGCTCTTTCTTGGGCTTCTGTACAACTCAACTTGTATACACTGTGTACACACAACCAGCCAAACGAAAACCCAACAGCAAACACTTTATCGGCTGGCTGGAGTGCCTCTGTCCTGCGGCGGCTAGGGGGCCCCAGGGGTGGCAGAGGCAGACAGGGTCTGGAACGGGAACATGGCTTCTCTGGAGCCCCTGGAAGCGGCCGGGCTGGGGTCATTGTATGCGTTACGTCTCACTGTGTAAAATTAGCCGCCCGCCCCCCCCCCAGCCCCGAAATTTAGTGACCTAAATGTTTATCCTCTGGTTTCGGAGGATGAGGAACTGGGGAGCAGGTCAGCTGGGTGGTCCTGTCCCAGGGTCTGTTGTGAGGGTCCACTCAAGTCGGCCAGAGCAGCGGCCCTCCGGGGATTGACGGGTCGTAGGACCGGCTTTCAAGCTGGCTCACTTTTATTTATGTATTTTAAGATTTTATTTATTTGAGAGAGAGCACGAGAGGGGAGTGAGGGGCAGAAGGAGAAACAGACTCCGCGCTGAGCAGGGAGCCCCACGCGGGGCTCGGTCCCAGGAGCCCGGGATCATGACCTGAGCTGAAGGCAGACGCTTAACCGACTGAGCCACCCAGGCACGCCAAGGTGGCTCACTTTTAAGGTGTGCAGATTGGCTGCAGGCTGGAGGCCTCAGTTCCTTGCCATGTGGACCTTGCCATGGGGCACCTTGAGTGTCTGCAGAACATGGCAGCCGGCTTCCCCCAGAGAAGGGGATCCCAGGGAGAGAGCAAGGAAGAAGCCTTGCAGAGTTTTCTGTCCTGACACACCATTGCCTCCTACATACTGTTCACGGGAAGGGAGTCCTTGAACCCAGTACCCACTCAAAGGGGGATTCAGCTCTGCTTTGAGGAGGGAAAAGCAGAGGAATTTCTCGGTGTGTTTTTTTTTTTTTTTTAAAGATTTTATTTATTTATTTGACAGAGAGAGACACAGCGAGAGAGGGAACACAAGCAGGGGGAGTGGGAGAGGGAGAAGCAGGCCTCCCGCGGAGCAGGGAGCCCGATGCGGGGCTCGATCCCAGGACCCTGGGATTGTGACCTGAGCCGAAGGCAGACGCTTAACCGACTGAGCCACCCAGGCGCCCCTTCTCGGTGTGTTTTTAAGCTGGTACAGGCTGTGGCAGGTGTTAGGAGTTGACCAGCTTTTTGTTGGCTGCCTAATGTGGACTCGAGGGTGGATCTCTTGTGTCCTTGAACCCTGGAACTACAAGGTCACAAGCAGAAGCAGGTGAGATGTGGATAGAGTGCTTTGTTCTCGACACTTTAGCTTAAAGTGTGACCTGCCACCCTTGGGAGTTCTGTCCGTTGCCCCGCCCCACACGCACAAGAGCTTGTAGAAGTGTAGTCTCCAGGGCTGAGTCTCAGATCTGCTGAGTCAGAACCCACTTTTTAGTAAGATCCTGGGAGGATTCTAATACACACTCAAGTTTGAGGAGCAGCGTTCTAAAATAAGAATTAACAATTTGGAGGTCACCTGGAACCCAGCGTGTAAGAAGTGAGTAAGCCGTTGTCACTCGAGAGCCCGGACTGTTGTCAAGAATGGACTATTGGTATACTAGAATCCTGGCTTCAGCACTCATGGTGGTTGGTCAGTAGGTATTGACCCAGTGTGAGATTTAAGGGTAGGCCATCCGCATTCTAGATAGATTCCCTTCCTGGTGAAATTGAGGAAGAGCCCCCGTTCTTTAACCTTGGATATTGTCTAGACCATCACCAATGTGAACGACTCCAGAATTCTGGTTTTACAGTAACGTTTAAGGATCTTAATGGGAGAGTCAGTGATGGACCATGGGCTTTCTAGAATTAATGGAGTTTGGAGGGGTGAGGATGGAACTTGGTGTCCTCGTACCGTGGCCTGTGGCACATTGGAGTGCAGCCTCTGAGAGGCAGTGGCACGTTGAAGGCTCTGGGCTGGTATGTCCAATTGGAGCCAAAGGTTCCATGATCGGCGTTGCCTCAGATAGGAGCTCTGCTATGGAGAGTGGGTGGATTGTTCAGAAGGTGGGCGGCAGGGCAGCATCCTCCCTTTGCGGGTGGGATAACCTTGTGGTTGGATTTTGGAAGTCAACTGCCCAAACTTGGATCTCCGCTCTAGCACTTAACCAGGTGAGTTGGATACCAGCCCGAATCCTCAGCTCTGTCATTTGTAAAAATGGGCTTTTGTCAAGATGAAGGAAAACTGAAATGTCTGAAGCACTTAGCGCCCGTTACCCATAACAGGAGGAGGCCCCAAGAGGCTTGTTGGAGGTCCAAGAGATGGCAGAAGTGGGAGAGGGTGGCAAAGATGTTTAAAGAGGGACATCAGAACCCTGAGAGACTTTGAATCTTCGGCAGGGCCCGCCAAAGCCTCGGGAGGGCAGGAACCAGAGAGGCGCGCACACACCTAGGGAAATGCCAAGTAGGCCACGCCAGCCTCTTCACTGTTGCCTGATGAGCTGGGGATAGATGGGGCTCGCAAACCATCCAAAAATGGGCTGCCAGTTGTCGTGTGGGTTTGTATGTGTGCTTTTTCTGGGGGTAAGCGGTAGCTTTCATCACCTCTGCAAAGCACATCGTTGTCCTTAAAGAAGCAGGGTGTCCTAGGCGAGAACTTGGCGCCGATGGACAATGCAAAAAAGACTAAGGCCTGGTAGGGCTGTGATGACGGGGACGCAGGGAGGGAGACATATGCATTGGTCTCCACTGACTCTCAAGAGTGCCTCACCTCTGGCTGGGGTTAGGTAGAGACGTCAGACCTGGTCTGTAAAGTGATAGAACCCACCCCCCCTTCCCTTCCCTCCCTGTCCTGCAGGGGTTGGGCCCCTGGTGAGCTGAGGTCCTGGGGCTAGAGGGAGTGAACCTGCAACACAATACGTTGGAGCCATGCTTATTCCCAGGGCGGAAGGTTGAACACAGGCCAAGGATTCTGTGATAATGAAACCCGGAAAGGGATATTTAGCTAATCATTGTTCTAATCTGGAATACAGAGGGACATTCATGGTTCTGGGGCAGGAGGAGAACAGTAGGGCCTCCGTCACTGATAGCACTTAGTATACTCCAAATGCTGTTTGTCTTCTGGGTGCAGATCGGTCCCTAAAGGCCTCTGGGAAGTAGCGCTGTGATGACCCCCATTCTACTGCTGGGAAGACAGAGGCACTTGCCCAACAGCTCTTGAGTAAAGGCGGCAGAGTGGCTGCCAGGGGCCATCATCCACCCTCGAACCGGGAGTGGGTTCTGGGGTGGGTGGGAGGGGAGCTGTTTGGGACCGGGGGCCCAGAGGTTGTGTCCAAACGTAGCAGACATGGGGGTAGGAGGAGTAGATCGTTGATTGGTGACAGTTACCAGTGGAGATCAGAGTTCCAAGGCACGGGGACTGAGGCTGAGGTTTCTGGCCTGCTGTGTTGACTAGGTGTTGGGGTTCAGGGACGCCTGCCAGGCTTGGGAGATGGACGAGGGGTGGTCTCCCAGTCTGGTGCCAGCGTTCCAGGTTGGCAAATACACTGCAGAATTGGTCCTGGGTGGACTAGGGGGGCAATCCAAGCGTTCCCAGACAAGCCAGTTAGCAACTATTTGGGGGTGGCCTTAAGGAGACCCACATGTCAGCCCTTCCTAGGAGAGAGGTTCAGGTGGAATGTGTCTACACTGGCCCCAAGTTGGATTGAGACTTTGCACTCAGATGTCAGCCCAATTGGGAACTTTCTGGAAATGAGAACTTGCCAGCCAGCTGTTTGGACACCATTCCGCCCACCTTGTCCCTTCTCCCTCCTGCAGCCAACAGGTCTTTCTCAAATATGTACTGGAGGTGGGAAAGGGGCAGGCGGGGGTTGTAGCAGGGGCCTGTTTCCAAGATCCTGGGAGCCTTCTGGAACACCACTATCCAATAAATTTAAATGGCCACTGTAGCTTCTGGCTACCTTACTGAATAGTGCAGTTCTAGAACTTTGCAGCAAAGAAAAAAAATTTAGATGTCAAACCCCATCCCAGCAAAATGCCCACCCAAACGAAAGGGCAGAATGGCCGCCCCCCCCCCTTGAAGGCGAAGCAGGGGTCCAGACACCACCTGGCTTGGCTCATTCTCTGGCCCCAGCCCACCCCCTCCTCCCCACCAAGCAAAGGGTTCTAGATCCGATGGTGGCAGGTGAAGTGAGGCTTCTAACCTGTGTGTGCCCTGAGTTCACCCACCGCCCCGGAGCCCTTTTCCCTTTTCAAGAAGCACTTTCTGATATTGGCAGTGATATTTATTTCCCTGGGGGTGGAGAGGGGATTATATACAGCAGTGACCCGGACGCCCGGGAGCCCCTCACCCCAACAAGGGGCTTGGGTGGGGAAGGGAGGCGTTGGCAGAAGGCACACAGTGGCGATGTCCTGGAGGAGGCCAGGGATTCCGGATGGGGGTGTAGTGTATCCTGGGAAACCCAGATGGGGAAACAGGCTCGGTGAGGGCTGCTGGTCCCGAGAGCTCATGCTGGCTGCTCCTCTCGCACCCCCCAGGGCTACAGGAGGACGCAGGGACAGCCTCCGTCTTTCTTCCTGGGGGCACTGGGTGGGCTGGGTGGGAGCTCTTGTTCCTGATACTTCCTGTGGGGAGAAGCTGGTGAGTTTGGGTCTCGGGCTGGGGACAAGGACAACAAGAAGGGCGCTCTGCTCACCGGACGGCCCGCACCAGCTGCTCGAAGGCCTCGTCCACGTTGAGGCGCAACTTGGCTGAGGCCTCGAAGTAGGCCACGTGGTGGGAGGCACCAAAGGCAGAGGCTTCAGATCGGGGCACCTGGGAGGGGGAGAAGCAGGAGGAGTCAGGTGTCTGTACTCAGGGTGGGGCCCAACCATGGCAGGCAGAAAGACACACTATGCTTTAAGGGGGGGGTGACCTAGTGTGGGGGCCAAGTGAAGAGGAAACGTTCTAAGGAGAGCATGGGGAACGTGCCAAGAGGGCTCGGGTCCATTAAGTAAGGAGTCAGGGAAGGCTCTGTAGACGTTTGCCCTTCTGAACATCAGATGACTGAGTTCCTCCCGCAGAGAAATCAGGGTGTTCCCTGCAAAGGCCTGAGCAAAGCTCAGAGGGCTGGA